AAAAAACCACAAGAACCTAAACAGACCAGTGCTGTCCCTGAGGCGGAACCTTTGGCGCGCAGCTCGTGTTTCCCCGTCTCCATGGCTTCCTTTAAGATAGCTAAAAAGGGAGGACCACTTCCGGTGCGAACCAGAAGTGGCACTCCTGAGCCTCCCGGGAGGCGGGATGGCGGCTCGGGCCGCGCTGCTGCTGCTTCTGCTGGGAGCGGCGGGAGCCGGCCCCGCCCCGGCGCTGGGTTCGCGCGGGGACCGGGAGCCCGTCTACCGGGAGTGCCTGACGCACTGCGAGAGGCGCAACTGCTCCGGGGCCGGGTTGCGACACTTCCGCTCCCGCCAGCCACTCTACATGAGCCTCACAGGTAACGGGGAAGAGGGGAGGAGGAGAGGCCACGCCCACCGCAAAAGGCAACCACACTCAGGGTCCTCAGCGTGGGCTTTAAAGGAAGCCACGCCCATCACACACGAGGCCCCGCCCTCTCGCCTTCATTGGCACTTGGTGGCACCGCCCACTTGTCTGGACCAATTACTTAAGGACCTTATCTACACAGCAATCTAATGCAGTGCTCTCCTAAGATTATTTTATTTATCGTGTCAGGGGCAGGCCAGACAGTTGCATTGCAACAAACAAACAAACAGAACACAAAGTTTGCAAGCTTGGTAGTTGGTTAAATGTCTTTTGACCAGTATCTGGCCACTTGGGAGTGCCTCTGGTGTTGCCGCAAGAAGGTCCTCCATTGTGCATGTGGCAGGGCTCAGGTTGCATTGCAGCTGGTCAGTGGTTTGCTCTTCTCCACACTCGCATGTCGTGGATTCCACTTTGTAGCCCCATTTCTTAAGGTTGGCTCTGCATCTCGTGGTGCCAGAGCGCAGTCTGTTCAGCGCCTTCCAAGCCGCCCAGTTTTCTGTGTGCCCAGGAGGGAGTCTCTCATTTGGTATCAGCCATTGATTGAGGTTCTGGGTTTTAGCCTGCCACTTTTGGACTCTCGCTTGCTGAGGTGTTCCAGCGAGTGTAGATTTTAGAAAACTATTTCTTGATTTAAGTCATTGATGTGCTGGCTGATATCCAAACAAGGGATGAGCTGGAGATGTCACTGCCTTGGTCCTTTCACTATTGGCTGCTACTTCCCGGTGGATGTCAGGTGGTGCAATACCGGCTAAGCAGTGTAATTTCTCCAGTGGTGTAGGGCGCAGACACCCCGTGATAATGCGGCATGTCTCATTAAGAGCCACATCCACTGTTTTAGCGTGATGAGATGTGTTCCACACTGGGCATGCATACTCAGCAGCAGAGTAGCATAGTGCAAGGGCAGATGTCTTCACTGTGTCTGGTTGTAATCCCCAGGTTGTGCCAGTCAGCTTTCATATGATATTATTTCAAGTGCCCACTTTTTGTTTGATACTCAGGCAGTGCTTCTTGTAGGTCACAGCACGGTCCAGAGTGACTCCCAGATATTTGGGTGTGCTGCAATGCATTGTAGGGTCAGTATAATGCAGTTAAACTGCATTGTATGATTTCCCCTTTGATCCTATAATGCAGTTTCAATCTGCATTAGATGACAGTGTAGATGGGGCATGTGGCTTTGTGCTGGGAAGGGGGCCAACCAGTCTAACTCCCTGCCAAGAAGCAGGAAAATTGCAGTCAAAGCACCCCTGACAGATGGCCATCCAGCCTCTGTTTAAAAGCTTCCAAAGAAGGAGTCTCCACCGCACTCCGGGGCAGAGAGTTCCAATGCTGAATGGCTCTCACAATCAGGAAGTTCTTCCTAATATTCAGATGGAATCTCCTTTCCTGAGTCTGTGCATGGTATCTTTCCTTCATTAAGGGATAGCAAGTCTCTGAAGCCCCTTCCACACACCTGAATAAATAAAATCCCACATTTTCTGCTTTGAACTAGAATATATGGCAGTGTGGACTCACATATCCCTGTTCAAAGCAGATATTGTGGGATTTTCTGACTCGATATTCTGGGTAATATGGTTCTGTGGAATGGCCCTGGGTAGATCTACACTGTAGACATAGGGCCCTTCAACATAGCCATATATATAACCCAGGGCTGTTCCACACAGCCCTGTATCCCAGAATATCAAGGCAGAAAAATCCACATTATCTGAGTTATTGTACAGAATAACATCCTGCGTAAACTTACTGGCAGCACATGGGGTGCTGACCCAAAATTACTAAGAACATCAGCCCTAGCCTTGTCTTACTCAACTTCTGAGTATGCCTGCCCTGTTCGGCATAGGTCTGACCATGCAAAACAGATGAACATAGCATTGAATGAAACATGCAGAGTAACCACAGGATGTCTTAAACCTACACCTGTTGATAAACTCTACAAGCTAGCTGGCATTGCCCCCCCGATGTACGACGGGAAGTTGCTGCTAAATGTGAGAGAAATAAGGTTGAACACTGTGAAAGCCACCCACTACTTAGCTACCAGCCTCCTCCCAGTAGACTCAAATCAAGGAAAAGCTTTATGAGAACTACCGCTCCTCTTGGCGTCCCCCAAGCAAGAGCAAGGGTATCCCTCTAGGCAGCTAAACCAGAAAACCCCAACTGGATGCCCCCCCCCCAACGAGGGTCTTTCTCCAGGGGCAAAGTAAGAATGAGCAACTTGGAAGTCCCTGAACAGACTCAGAAGTGGAGTGGGCAGAACAAAGGACAACCTGGCAAAATGGCACTACCTAAAAGAATCCCACACTCTGTGCAACTGTGGAGCAGAAGAGACAACTCTGCATCTGTATGCTTGTCCACTGTGCCCTGCCTCATGTACGGAGGAAGAATTATTGGAGGCTACAGACAATGCCATTGCTATTGCCCGTTCTTGGTCAAAAGATATTTAGCCACCTGCGCTCCTTCTGTTTTTATTGGTTTTATACTCATTTATGCAATGCTTTTGATACAAAATAAATTATCTGAGTGTGGATTCAGATAACCCATTTCAAAGCAGATAGTGTGGGATTTTCTGCCTTGATATTATAGGATATATAGCTGTGTGGAAGGGCCCCCAGTCAAGGTAGAAAATCTCACAATATGTGCTTTGAAGTGGGTTATCTGAGGGCCCTTCCACAGAGCCATATAACCAAGAATATCAAGTAACTCACAGTATCTGCTTTGAACTGGAATATCTGAGTCCACACTGCCTTATATCCCAGTTCAAAGCAGATAAAGTGGGATTATATTCAGCTGTGTGGAAGAGGCCCCAGAGTATCAAAGTAGATAATCCACAATATCTTCTTTGAACTGGGTTATCTGAGTCTACACTGCCATTTAATGCAATTCAATGTGGATTTTATACAGCTGTGTGGAAGGGGCCACAATGCACCTTGACACCACGTCGGCTGTCATGGCTCCATGCTAAACAATCTTGGGAGGAGTAATTTTCTGAGGCATTGGCTCTCTTTGGCAGAGAAGGCTAAAGACCTTGTAAAACCACAGCTCTCATGATTCTATAGTATGGAACCGTGCAAGTTAGCGGTGTCAGACTGTGTTACTTCTACAGTGTAGATGCACCCTCTGAAGATTGAATCAGTTCTCAGCATAATCTCTCAGAAAAGAGAATTATTCTGAGTTTAACATTGTATGACAACACTTTATATCACCTTCTGTTCTTTGAAGGAAAGGTCAGACACACATGTAATAACAGTGTGTATGGGATTGCGCCATTGAACATTTTTCACCCAGTCTCTTTTACTGGGAAAAGTTTAATTATTCCCATTCTCAACATTTACATATTTAGTTGTGCACCAGAATTAGGCATGGCAAAAATACATCCCTGATAGGATACCAGATAATGATTTTAATGCACATTTTTCCATTTTAGCTTTTTCCAGGCAGGTTAATATTGCTTTGGAAATGGGCAATGGTTTTCTAATATTTAAAAATGCAACATCGGTGTTAGAAGTTCAGTTTTAACTAAGAGCTTGTCAAAAGAAACTAAAACCAAAAGAAACTAAAGATAAATGAATAAGATCCCATCAAGTAAAGCATATGTGGCATATTGACATATCTTCTAATCCCACCCTCTTCCTTGAAAATAATTTTCTTGGTTCCATTGCTTTCAGGCATTGTCCAAACACCTTCTTTATCTTTTGTGTATTCCCTCCTGTCTGTGTTCTAGGCTGGACCTGCAGAGACGATTGCAAATATGAATGTATGTGGCTTACGGTGGGCCTTTACGTCCAAGAAGGCTACAAAGTGCCTCAGTTTCATGGAAAGGTAAAGCCATGTTTGCAATGCCAAACTGCGGCAGTTGTGTGGATCCAAAAGGTTTTACATCCTCATATCAGCCTGTTTGTCAGTTCACCCAACATCCTTGAGTTTTAGAGGTGGGGGATGTTTAAAGCACCAGAGCAGAGAGTTGTCCTATTTATGCCTTTTGAGAAACTTCAAATGAAGATGGCAGTACTTGAATCTGAGACATATGCCAGGCAATTGACTCATGATGCCTTCATGCAGAAGGTAGTCTCGAGGCTATATGTATGTGTATATGTATGTATAAACATATTAGAACAAGACATCTAATATTCATACAACACTGACAGTCCCCAAGTTACTCATATGACCTATAGTTAAGAATGGGGGTGAGACCACAGGAAGTGAGGAAATCTACACCAAGGAAATTCACTCCTGGAAGAGTTATCATGGGGAAAAGGTGTCTCAACTGAAGCTTTCTCGCCTATTTGTATTTTCACAACAAGCCATTTATTTCAAACTCCAATGATCACAGGAAGAGAAAGTGAGTTGACATCTTCTGAGCAGGGGAACAGACAACAAAACAAATGTCACATATTTATTTATTTCGAACACTTTTACCTTGCCCTTCTCAACCCTTGGGGGGACTCAGGGCAGCTTCCAATTGGCAGCAATTTGATGCCGCATAATAAAATACAAAACACCAATAAATACAATAGTTAAAAGCATTAAAACATTAAAACAATATACTTACAGTCAACCGAACGTGTGTGTGAACCCATCCATATGCTATCCAAAACATATATGTATATATATTTGGCTGGAGAAGAAGGAAGCAGTAGTTCAATATATCTGGTCTGACTTGGTGAAGGCTGCTTTAACTTTAAACCAGAGTCAAAGCCAGTTTTTGGGGGGCTGGGGAGCGGGAGGATAGCTGTATTTTCACTTTTGGTTGATGACATTCTTTTTTTCTTCTTGCTGTCCTCCTCTTCTCTCCTATCCACTCTCCATAGTGGCCCTTTTCCCGTTTCCTGTTTTTTCAGGAACCTGCTTCTGCCTTTGCTTCATTCCTTAATGGACTTGCCAATTTTGTGATGCTGAACAGATACAAAGCTCTTGTCCCTCGTTCTTCTCCCATGTACCATACTTGTATCGCCTTTGCTTGGGTAAGTGGTTTTAAAGTATTGTTTTCCCATGGTAAAAATTCTTTTGTATATATGAATGTATATCAGAAGCCACTATATGAGGACATGGGCTTAAATGATGCCTTTGGAAGGGATCTTAAAGTATAGTAGCTGTAATCATTATCATTATCTCAATTGCAGTTGTGGTAGAGGGTCAGAAAGAGTTGCCCTTCTGCAATACACAAAGTTATAAAAAAGGAATACAAAGGTGCAAAATCAGCTCCAGGCCTGAATATGAATACTGGGAGTGTTTTTCTTTTACTGATACCCTTTCCCGCAGCATTTCCACAATTTCATAGTTCAATTAGGCTTTTTGATATAAGTACCATATGACAATCATTTTGGGGCTTAGCTGAGCAGCTTGTTTTTATGTGTTTCTACAATGTTCATTCCATAGCTTTATTGATCAATCTCATAAAATGTGGTGTTTTCTGGTTATTATTTCTTCACTTCAGGTTTCTTTAAATGCCTGGGTCTGGTCTACAGTTTTCCACACTCGAGAAACAAACCTAACCGAGGTGAGCAGTTACACTTATATCATTAAAACATTACCAAATGCCCCCTTGGGAAGATAGGGCAGGTTAAGTGATTATAAATGTGAGTAGGGATCTCCTTTGCAAGAAATCTTTGATTGATATTTCCAGTGTTTCATTTTTTCTAAAGATAATAAACAAATCAAATTAAAATTCTTTCTAAGTCAGTAGTACAACCTGCATGAGATTTTCTTCCCGGTAACTCTGGAATGACACTTTTTATACAGCACTGTAAATTTGTGTAGTATTTTGTAACAAAGACAGTACAATCTGATGCATGGTGTAAAGGAAAAAGGGAAATAATTTTTCAGTACATATTTTGTATAATTAGTTTTCATTTCCGGTGGGAGATGTAGTCTAACACCATTGCCAAATGTACCATATTTCATCATGTAATAGTAAAATTAGAGATGTGTGATTAATTATATGACGTAAAAAGGTAGAGG